TTGGAGAAGTGTGGTGGGCGGCCTATGCTCCATTGGGGGTGTAACAGGCGTAAGTAATTAAGTAAGCTAATGCCATATGGCAACTTGAACTGATGTAATTACACATACGAAGTTCTACGTTGTAACTGACCACCTCCAGTAGAGTATTCCTAACTCTCGATGATCAAAGACAATCGGCAGAAAATCTTTATCAACCTAGATTTCATGCTAGTTAACAATCTTCAATAAGACGTTCATGCAGTTTAGAAAGAGTTGATGATTCATACAAGATTCAAACTGGCATCATTCAATTTCACAGACTGAAGTATGTTACCTCTGAATTATTCGATTAAAAACTGTTTTCCATCAAGATTGAGATGTTTACACATTGATTGATCATTGAATAGTGACAGATGTTACGTCTTTCAAGTGCCAGTGTGATCACTAAATCTAAGCGACTTAACACATTGCCTTCACTATGTGTTACGCCTGCACGTAAACACGTCAACTTGATATACTTGAACTATTACGAGTTTACCTATGTCGGAAAACGAGGGCGAGGATCGAGGATCCGGTGACACGACATGCTACTGTCAAATCCGATTATCCCAACCCTTATATTGAGTAAAAATAAGAAGACTTGAATGTGAAGTAGAACCTGTATTCTACAAACATCCAGAAAGTACGAGGTCTGAGTGCAGAAGAGAATCAGGATCTCGGACTGGGGATCCGGGACCGAACCCTGGTCCTGGTCGTGGTCATAAAATGTTACAGATAATGCGTATTTATACATTTTGGTCTAATAGGAAACAGCATCGAAATCTGTGACATTGAAAGTTAAGACGACCAATAGGACGCAACATTTGAAGTGACATTGATAGTCAGGATATAACCAATAAGAAACAACATTGGAGCATGTGACACTGATATCTAGGCCGACCATAAAATTAACCAGTAGGAATTAACCAATAGAAGTTGACCAATAATAATTCTCTTAGGATATCGGATGAATATCCTAACACATACGGAAGAGTATGTTGAGTAATATCTTCACAGTTACTGCTACGTCTGTTTTCAGAGCATCTGCTGCGATGTTGTCCGATTCCGCTGATTTCACGCTCTTTCTGATGTTTAATGATATTTCTAAGAATTTACACCAGTGGTTTTTAGGTTATATGAGTGGAAAATACATACGTATCTACCAATCTAGTTTATACGGATTCACTATTCCTTCTGTAAATCAATTCATTGACTTGACTGACTCTTAGTACATTATGCATGTAACCTTGTCGTCGCATAAAATCACAAGTTCGAGATCCATTTCTACTGTATTTGATAGTCGGTAGTCCGACTATCCGGATCCGGCGACACGACATGCTACTCAAATCCGATAGGAAGTAACATTTGAAGTGAAATTGATAGTCAGGATATAACCAATAAGAAATAACATTGGAACATGTGACATTGATATCTACTAGGACGACCATAAAATTGACCAATAGGAATTAACCAATACGAATTGACCAATACTAATTCTCTTAGGATAATTGGATGAATATCCTAACACTATTTTTTTTTGTATGTAAAGTGATTCGAAGTTCGTTAGTTGTATGGCAGTTAGTCATCAATTTAAGAAGAGCTTCTTGTCACTTGAATAAAAATCGAGTGTTTTACCAACTTGTCAAACTGTGTGCCTAGTCGTTTGTTGTAACGCTGTTACGTGTAGCTATTCAGTCCTAGCGGCGTTCAAATTCGAATATTCCAATACGACCCAAATACTATTGCCAATTCTCCTAAATATCAGAACGCAACACCGTTGGATGGAGTTGTTTATTGGGTCGAGTACAGAAGAGAGGAGGTAGGCAGGAAGGAACGGAACACGTGAAGTCTTACAGATAGTGCGTATTTATACATTTAGATCGAATAGGAAAGAGCATCAATGTCTGTGACATTGACAGTTTAGGACGACCAATAGGAAAGAACATTTGAAATGACATTGACAGTCCAGATGACCAATAAGAGACAACATTGAAGTATTTGACCTTGACAGTTAGAACGATCATAATTTCGACCAATGCGATTACACTTCTAAAAATAGTACTCTTAGGATATTTGGTGAATATCCTAACATTGTCATAATTAATTAATTAATTAATTAATTATTGATTGATTTATTCATTTTTCTCTGTCTTCTAGAAAAATATTTCACTTTAAAACGAAAACAATGTCGACTTGGCTTAGACTTATATCATGCTTTCCCAGGTTTATTATCAAAACTAACGGAATTTCTAACACTTGCTGAAGTATGTGTTGTTGTTATTATCAGCATTTTTTTGTAAATACTAGTACTACTACCACCATTTTCTTTCAATGTTCCTAATGAGTTTGATGATATTTTGCAGACTATGTTGTAAAATATTTGTAGTTGGATTTTATGCTGCCTGTTTTATGTGTGTGTGCGTTTAGTGTCTGAGATATGATGGATTACCTGGTGTGCTGTAACGGCTATGAGAGCGGATGTCAAATCTCGACTGCCCACACCATGGAAAGGTGGTTCTTGAGGAGCTTGAAAAGGAAGTTGGGTCAATGTCGGTCTTAGAGACCTGGGGAGAGTAACCGTAGAGCTCAAGGGACGGCTGCTTGAGGCTGATCGCGCAAGGTCTTTTTATAAGAAGTCAACGTGTTGGCGCCGCGTTTCAAAAGGCTTTACCATGAGAGACAGAAATTCGTGGGGTAAGATGAGATGTGTCACCTTTTTTAATCCCTTCCTTCCGTTGTGAGGATGCAGCATCGCTGCAGATGCTGATTGTCCGAGAGAAATACCTTATTGCTGTCACACTCCTGTGCAGTCAGCGGGACGACTTCGCCCTCGGTCCTTGAGTAGCTGCTTTTAGTCTCATCGTTCTCCAATCGACTTGTCTGGATTAGTAGAATCTAAAGGAACGTATGTTCCAGCCAATATAACTTGGTTGGTTCATCACCAGAGACAAGCCCAACCGCCAACGTCAAGATAGCAGCTACGGTGATGGATTGCCTTGAATATGAGTAGCGTAGCTGATGATACGTGGCACGGATTGATAAAATCTAGGATAATTATAACCGTTTAAGATTGCAACAGAACCACTTGCATTGTTTATATCCATCTGTCACTAGAGTTTCTTTAGGTCATTGCTTGCTATGACGTAATCGTTTTGAATTCAATCACGATAATCAAAACAGTTAGCAGTTCAGTTTCCATTTGATTGATGTGAAGAAGTAAGCTGAATACAAAGTCAAATGTAGTGCCAATCTATGAAGTGAAATGACTGTTAATGGTAAGGCGTTCGCCTACAATGCCGAAGGTCCCGGGTTCGAATCGTGCGAGGAGCAGGAGTTGTGGATGAGCACTGCCATTGATGAGTCCCATACGAGGACGAAACGGCCATCCAATGCTTCCAGGTTTCTAATGGTGGTCTAACAATGATAGATTGATGATTTCAAATGTGTAAAAACGCAAACCTCCAAAACTCTGCCCCAAAATATTATGTGTGTAGTGATGCAATCTCTACTTCGTTGTGATTATTATTGACTCTGACCGATTCTGACAGATTTGGTCTCGTGTTGTTTTATTGGTATGAGAGCGGATGTTACTTCTAGGCTGTCTACACCGTGGAAAGGCTCTGGTTGTCACAAAGGGACATTGGCCTCTTGACTTCTGAAGGAATTCGGCTTTCATCATGAGACTTCATAACTCTTCTAAATGAAGACCTTCTAACTCCTAGAGCAGAGTTTAAATGGTTTAAATTGTTATTTTTTTTCTTGTTAGCGTTTTTTAGCGAGCGAGTGTTTTGTGGGATAGGGTTGCCAACTCCATGCCCAACTCTCCTCCTTTATACGGACATGGGACAAGCAGTAGCCCCGGAGGGTCTACAGGCGGACTCATAGATTGCCTTGATTAGTGTAACATTTTCATATCAGTATTCATGTATATCACAGAGAGTAAAGCCTGATGACGGTCTAATTGGAAACAACACTATTGTTCACTTTCGATGTGTTGTTCTGATTTTTTCACAATGGAAATCTTTGATATTCTTAAATATTTTCCTGTTAACATTTTGTTTTGTTTATAGAGTTTGGGAATCGGTGATAAAGATAGTCTAGGCTTGCAACCGGTAAGTTCTAATTTGATAATCATAATTTGGTCTCGTGTGCTGGTACTGGTATGAGGGCGGATGTCATTTCCCGGCTGCCCACACCGTGGAAGGTTGTTTCTTGAGGAACCTGAAAAGGAAGTTATATTAGTGTTGGTCTTAAAGACCTAGATGCATGGTCGCAGAGTCCAAGGGACAACTGCTTGAGGCCGGTTACGCACGGCCTTTTTATGAAGGGTTTTTTGAGTATTAGCTCCGCTTTTTTTTGAAAGACCTTATTGGGAACCCTTACCGCCGGAGACGGAAATCCATGAAGTATGGTGAGGTGTGACATTCTTATGGTCGACCTTTTCTAACCCTTCCTTCCTTGTGAGAAGGCAGCATCGTTACAGATGCTGGTTGTCCGGGGGAAACACCTTACTGCTGTCACACCCCTCTACAGTCAGTCAGCAGTACGACTTCTCCCTGAGACCTTGAGTAGCTGCTTTTAGTCTCATCGTTCTCCAATCGACGTGCCTGGCATGGTAGAACCTTCAGGAACATATTCAGTCAGTATAGCTCGGTTGTTTAATCCCGATAGGCAAGCCCGACCACGTCATGGTAGCCGCTACAGTTAGTAATTTATCTTACTGAATTATACTTCTGGAATCATATCTTTGCTCCCTAATCTTCTCCATTACTGCTAATACTTCTATTATTGCTATCACTGTTGGATTTGAACTGACAGTTGCGTCTCTGTGCTGATGTGGTGGTATGGCAACCTGAACTGATGTACTTACATACGAAGTTCTGTGTTGTATCTGTCTGACTAACCTTTTCAAAGAATATCTCAAAAAGGAGTAATTTATTCAACAAAACAGTTATCAATTCCCATGAAATATTAAAATATCGATCTAAAAAAAGACATTTCTATCGATTAATCAAACAGGTTTCGTGATATTTCATTGATTAATTTTCAAACAATAAAAGTATTCCATGGTGTCATGATAAGAAAATTGATTTCCGTGGACATAATTCACCTAGTCTGTAATTATTAGTTGTGAAAGTCTTGTATATGTACATTATATCACACAAATCGATTCTAATTAGTGGATCATTGAAAGCACAGAAGTATTGAGCAGCTGTCCTTCTTCTAGTACTAAACTATTCTATTTAGCCAAGCATGTAACTTCATAACCCATCATCTATACGATGATCATAGGTGTACATGTCTTATATCTTTGGAGTGTTATTAGTAGTGCTGATACCACAGGATATGTGTGACAAAATCTCAATACGGATTCAGAAGGCTCGACTAGTTTTTGCCAACTTACGTCACTTACGGTATAGGTGAGTTATCTGTCTGGTAGTAACTAAAGAACAGGTTTACTGCGTAGCAGTTCGTTTCGTCCTACTTTATGACAGTGAAACATGGCCAGTAAGAGTAGAGGATATTCTGGTTTTCGACTATAGGTGTCTTAGTATCATTACTCGTATACCCTGGGACAAACGAGTAAGCAATACTGTTGTCAGGAAACGGATACTAAATGAGGATGGCAGATCAACTGATGAAGTATTGAAACTTCATCAGTTGAGGTTATCGGGATGTGTTTTGCTCATGCCTAACCACTGACTTCCACGACGATCTATGTTTTGTGGTGTAGGGATAGGCTGAAAGAAAGCTAGGAGCGGTCTAACCGAAACATGGCACAAATTCATGAAGTCACTAACCAGTGGATTGAGTCATGTTGGTTGGGGCCCGTGAGATGATAGTAATCGATGGTTAGAGATCTTGAATGACATGACCCAAAATCGTTTGCAATGGCGCAAGTGCATGCACTCTTTGTGTTCTCTGAAATTCTAATCTTCTGAATTCCTCATCACTTCTATTTTTCTCTTTCTTAAGTTATCTCACTGAATTATACTTCTCGAATCATATCATATCTTCGCTGCCTAATCTTCTCCATTACTGCTAATACTTATATTATTGCTATCACTGTTGGATTTGAACTGACAGTTGCGTCTGTGTGCTAATATGGTATGGCAACTTGAACTGATGTACATACACGTACGAAGTTCTATGTTGTTATTGAGTGACTATACACTTTTTATGAATAGATAGAATATGCGTGACTAACAGTGTAATCTGGGACGAGCATTTCATCTTATTTTCAATACTCGTTTTCAACTGGATATATACTTGCCACATTTGACAGAATGGATGTTTATTCACTCCCTTTGGACTTGAACCTAATCACCTGATTATTTTAAATGTCATTGCATTATATCTACTTAATGTCTAAGTCTCGTTTTCCCCAATTCATTTCAGGTTCCAGAAAAAGTTATTCAAGCAATGGAACAACATTTACAAATTTTAGAAAGTAAAAAAGGGTATGTTTTTTTTTGACTGAGTACTTCGTGCAAAAAAAGTGATCATATTGTTTTTTAAATCATATCTCTCCTTCTCCAAAAAAAACGCTCTCATATTGTAGTGAAGGAGAATACAGGTGAGGGCAACCGGATTGAATTTAACGAGAAATTACAGAGTTACTCAGTAAAATCGGAAAACCATATTGTAAACCGTTGTTAATTTGCAAAATATCAGTCCATCATATCGAACTGGACTGTTCCTGTTGCAAAACATCAATCCATTGTCACTGTTCATGCGTTTCATACAAATTCCATTGTGTTCTAACTAACTCTTCCTTTCTTGATCTTCCCCCCCGTCTTCTGCTGCCAGACATTACGTTGACATTCAGGTCATATGCTACTTATAAGTAGCTCACACCACAATATGACCACACGTATATGTGCTGACCACTACCACACTTACACCTTGTCGTTAAGCAGGAGTGTTGTTTACGAAATTGGAGAAGAATGAGAAGCGAATGTCCGACCAAGACTTAAACCGAGTTAAGGCGTATGGAAAATCTATCCAACAGATCGACAAAATCCTGAAAGCCCTTCATATCACGACTCCAAGCTACACATATAGACCACCTTCCGTCTTTTGTAACCGGTCCCATGATACACGATGTGGAAATTGCTGGGACGACATTGTTAGTACAATGTCTAAACCATCAAAGCTACAGTGTAAAAATGGTCAGACTCAATGAATTAATTATCTTCTCTGTGCTCGAATACACGTTACCGCTACTGAATGTCAGCAATCTGGCCGCGATGATGAAAGAAAACACAGAGAGTTGCTTAACATGTTCAACTTGAAGAAGTCAAGTTTGACTGATGTGTTTTTTTCAAATCTAACCTTTTACAACCAGACTATCATAACAAAGATGTGTAGATTAGTATAAGCCCACTAACATCAATAATTACATGGAGCAACCCGAATACATCAGGTTTTCGACTATTTTCAACTACTCACTAACACGTGATTGAGTGAAAGCTTGCCGAAGTTAATCATACATACACTTAGCAAGTACACTACACTTGAATTCAACATTACGCCTCATATTGTAGTCTTAACCTGAGTAAGTAAGCAGTGCTTCATAGATAACTATGGTGAAATACTAGTAGACTACTTTTATTTCATTTTTCATTTTTCAGATCCGATGATGATGATGACGAAGAGACTACTCATACTTCAACGAAACGAAATGTCCCTAAGAAGCCGGCACTACCTGTACCAATTCCAAATCAAAATGTAACAGCCTCCACTGAAGCTAAGATGCCTAAGATGCCTACTTCACATTCACCTGCTCACAATACAGATTTTACTGATAATACTAATGATCAGTTGACCAGTAAAACACATGATGATCAATCGGAACAGTTGAAGAACTATGATGGTGGTGATGTAGATGATACAGTTGAACCGACCTATCCAACTGTTGTCTTAAATGATGAAGGTTAGTTGTTGTGTTATGCATGCATGGTAACATGTCAGTTTGAAAGGCTTGTAATAACTATTACGAGTTTACCTTAGTCCGGAAAACGAGAGCGATGACTGAGTGAGGATCCTGCGACACGACAGGCTACTCTAATCCGAGCCTCCCAAACCCCCATTAAATGGAAGAAGAAGACTTGATATGAAGTAGAACATGTATTCTAAAAACATCGAGAAAGTACGAGGTCCGAGTTCAGAAGAGAATGAAGATCCCGGACTAAGAATCCGGGTCATAAAATGTTACAGATAGTGCGTATTCATACAGTTAGGTCGAATGGGAAACAACATTGAAATCTGTGACATTGAAAGTTAGGACAACCATAATACTGACCAATACAACTAGACATAGGAAATAGTACTCTTAGGATATTTGATGAATATCTTAACAGTTTGGCAAGAAGTTTAAAACAGCACATTATTCATTTGTGTACTGTCACATTTGTGAACTAGATGGTAGTAAATCTTTGGGAAGTCTTCATCAAATAATACTATCCACATATCAATCATTCATGAGAACTAGGAAAATTCAAGTTTCATTGGCAGTTTACTAGTATATTCACGGTCACTCACTGTGTGTTTACACTTCTAACTACTGTCAATTTTTGACAGTGATTTTCATCCACAGTAATAAGGCATTCAGTGTGACCACAGTCAAGTACAGTATAGAACCGGCAACATGTGTTTAATTTGTTATATTTCCATCAGCCATACTTACTTACTTACTTACTTACTTACTTACGCCTGTTACCCCCAATGGAGCGTAGGCCGCCAACCAGTTTTCTCCAACCAACTCTGTCCTGGGTTTCCCTTTCAGATTCTGTCGAACGTTTGTTCATTCCTCTCATATCTTTCTCTATTTCTCGGCGTAATGTGTTTCCTGGCCTTCCTCTTTTGCTTTTGCCTTGAGGGTGGCATGTGAGGGCTTGTCTCGTGAAGCAGTTAGGTGCTTTCCGCAATGTGTGTCCTATCCACCAACTCCACCTCTTCTCCATGATTTCCTCCTCCACTGGAATCTGGTTTGTTTTCTCCCACAGTACGTTGTTGCTGATGGTGTCTGGCCAACGAATCCGAAGTATTTTGCGTAGACAACTGCTAATGGATTAAGCTACACATATCGGTGCAAACTACCTAATTGAAATCTGTGTGATTATCATAACCAAAGGTTAGGTTCTTTGGTGCAAGTGCATTACATTCTTCATCATCCTGTATATTTAATCTTTCCTGTTACTAATAACAAGGTGAAATCAGATTAATAATTTTACTAGGATCCTGTATGCGCGTTTCCGAGACGCAACATACATCGATAGCACGAGATTCTAAAGTCCTAGCTAATGATGCCTGTTGCCCTATTTGACACAATGTCCATACATTAAATGCTCCAACATGTAGTCTAGAACGGGGTTTCAAGAGACCAGGAATAACGTTTCGCGAACTCGCATCGTTTGCATTAGCAGTGCAGTGAGATAAGGGTATGTGAGTAAAGTTAGTTGTGGAGAGAAGAGAGGTATGTGTGGGTGTAGGCAGGATTCGATTTTGACCAATTCGGTCTCCTGTGCTGTGTTGGGTATGAGGGCGGCTATCCTTTCTCGGCTGCCCACACCGTGGAAGGTTGTTTCTTGAGGGACCTGAAAAGGAAAGTAGATTAGTGTTGGCCTTGGAGACCTGTGTGTGGGTGTCGGAAGGATTTGATTTCGACCAATTCGGTCTCGTGTGCTGTTACGGGTATGAGGGTGGTTGTCACTTCCCGGCTGCCCACACCGTGGAAGTAATGAAGTAATGAAACTTCATCAGTTGAGGTGGTTGGGACATGTGCTGCGTATGCCTAACCATCCCCTCTGGTTTTGACTTTCTAAACTTTTCTCACTGAATCATACTTCTTGAATAATATCTTCTAATCCTAACCTCTCCGATTGCTTCCAATACCTTTACTACCTCTTCTACTATTGGTTTGAATTGACAATTATATCTCTGTGCTAATGTGGTATGGCAACATGAAGTGATGTACTTACGTACGAAGTTCTACGTTGCATTTAACTGACTGTTACTAATAACACTGTTATTACTTCTGTTCTCAGATTTGTCCTAACAATTTCATTTTGTTGTACTAATGGGGTATTTTATTTAAACACTGTTGGGGTTGTTAAATCCCCAGAACTCGCTTGACAAATAATATCTTTATTTTCGAAGTATTTCATGGACTGATCAGTTGACCTTGAGATCACATTTCCCACCAGGAAAATCCTTGACTGTGATTGGTTACTGTGTCATTTTAGTGTGTGCAATTTTTGTGACTGTCACACGGACGTCTCTATAAAGTATAAATTTAACGCAATTTGAGTGTTTGGATTCATTGTGTGCTGGCTGGGTGTTTTGTAGAATACAACAATTTCTACACTATATCAAGACTTCTTACTGATACAATTTGGTCAAGGGATCCGAGTAGCCTACCTGGAGGATGCTGATTCATTGTTTTGTTCTCTTAATTCGACTGAGGTGAACTCGTAATAGTTTATAAGCATACCCAAAAAGAGACGAGTGTAACAGACACAAAACATTGGTTTGAATAGAGAAATAAGAAGACATATTTTGTGAGATAGTGGTACCATTTCCTGCTTTCTCGTCAGTCACACATACAAGCAACATGTTATTTGTGTAAATATAGTTTAGAAGATAAGGTCAAAATTTCTTATTTAGCATGACATTCACTCACTAGAACCATGGTAAACAAAGGTCAACATACAGTTGCTTATGAACACATAACGTTGGACTTTTCCGACCAATCAAGATAGCTTCGAGTAGTTTCAGTGTGTATGTGGGTTTTGATGACATGTCACAACTCTAAAGGCTGGTTTTAGGTCAATTTGATGACCACTCATCATTAGATGTTTTGCAATGGACGAGGCTGGGTTTCTTGATCGATTTTGAGATGATGGGCTAGGTTGATGAAACATGGATTTGATTAACCATTTTGGAATATGTTCCCCTATCCTGTCTTCCAATCGGCGATCTGTCCTACCTAAGTAAATTTCTCCGCAATTACATGTGAATTGGTAAATACAGTGGGATTTGGACTGAATCGGTCTTGGAGAATTGATTGGGGTTGTTGTGATAAGCCTCAGATTAGCTGCATTGAAGGTCTTTTTTATTGCAGCTGCAGTCTGTTTGGTTGTAATTTTCATGCATTGATCACCTTTGAAAGGTAACTGTAGGTAGGTACACTGGTTTCTTGGGCACATCAGTTGCTATCGTCGTTTCGTCATAGTTGTGTTCTGATGACCAATAAAAACAAACATTGGTTATAAATGAGCATGTAAATATTTTTATGCACTACACACACAAAATGAACTTTTCCTATTTATTGATTCGCATATGCTGCACATATTTCAGATGGATTACCGTCTGCTTTACAAGAAGAAATCATTGCCACAGCGAAAGGTCATCTACATGAAACTTTAGTGAAAAGTACTGAAGCTGTGAAACGGTCCACTCAACAACAACATCATGCTGGTGGTGCACCGCCAGTGCATACACAATTGGGCAGGTGAATTTTTAAATGATTAAATTTTTTGGGGCAGAGTTTTTTGGAGGAGGTTTTGTGTTTTTCTTTTTCACACACATTTGAAATCATCAATCAATCAGTCAATCATTGTTAGACCAACACCATTAGAAACCTGTAAGAAGCACTGAAAGACGGCCGTTTCGTCGTCCTGGTATGTGGGACTCATCACTCAGTGGCAGTGCGCATCCACGACTACTGCACCTCCCAGGATTCGAACTCGGGACCTTCGGTAATGTGCACGAACGCCTAACCATCGGACCACTGGGCCGGCATCCAACGAAACGGCCGTCCAGTGGTTCCTGGTTTCTAATGCTGGTCTAACAATGATTGATTGATGATTTCAAATGATGTATATTTATTACGCAATAGTGTTTGTATTATATCAAATGTGTTTCAGGTTTAATCAATATATGGATTGGTAAGCGGGGGATCCTTGTGCTAACTACTGCTGCTGGTCGTGGTTGTTATCAGGTTTACTCACTGTTTTGACGAGTTGTCAGTTAGTTAGTCAGTTGCAACGTAGAACATCGTACGTATGTACATAAGTTCAGGTTGCCATACCACAATAACACAGAGACGCAAATGTCAAATCAAATCCCATAGATAGTAGAGGTATTAATGGTAATGAAGAAGACTAGGGTTTGAAGATATTATTCAAGAAGTATAATTCAGTGAGATAAGGTTAAAAAGACAAAGGTAGGGGTGCTGACGAATCCAGAAAATTAGGATTTGAGAGAGCACTACGCATGGATGCACTTGAGCCATTGCAAACGATTCTGAGCCATGTCATTCAAGGTCTCTAACCATTAGTGACTTTCATCTCGCGGAACCCAACCAGTTAGTCCACATCTACCGTTGGCCAACCAACTGGAGTAAGCAATGCTCTCGTTAAGAAACGAGTACTAGGTAGGTGTGGCAGATCATTAGATGAAGTGCTGAAACTTCATCAGTTGAGGTAGTTGGGACCTGTGCTGCATATGCCTAACCACCGACTGCCGCGATGAGCTTCGTTTTGTGGTGTAGGAATAAGTTGGAAGAAAGTTAGGGACGGCCAAACCAAAACATGGCAGAAATCTATGAAATCACTGACATGTAGACTGAGTCATGTTGGTAGATGTAGGCTATCTAGTTGGGGCCCGCTAAATGAAAGTCACCAACGGTGAGAGACCTTGAACGACATGGCTCAAAACAGTTTGCAATGGCGCAGTTGCATCCATTCGTTGTGTTCTCTCAAATCCTAATCTTCTGGATTCCTCATAATCTCTATCTTTCTCCTTCTAAATTTATCTTACTGCTAATAATTCTATTATTGCTATCACTGTTGGATTTGAACTGACATTTGCGTCTGTTTGCTAATATTGTGGTTGGGCAACTTGAACTTATGTACATACGTACGTAGTTCTACGTTATAACTGACTGACTGACTGACTCAGATTACTATACCACATTAGCACAGATAAAGGTTGGGCTGTCATTTCAAATTCCAAAGTAGTTGTATAGGTTGTAGCACTAGTAGCAGTAATGATTTGAAATTTATATCCTATGATTACACATGTTTGAGTATCAATTTCTCATCGATCATCATGCACAAGAGGTCATAACATGTTTGTATGGCTTGTATATCAACCGTGGATTCTCTTAGTCAAAAATATATGTCCAGTATTCCCTTTCACAGCTTATAATACATCTACAGAGTGAACATTCTCTTAAATTGTTTGGTTTTTTTCAAATCATTTTGCAGGTATATTTATTTTGGTTTTTGTTTCTTGAAAAAATATTCTTACACACAGATCAGAACATCGTACTGTATCAGTGCAACCACCATCATCATCGACACGTTCACGATCACCATCACCATCACCAGCTCGTCCACCACCGTCACCAAGTCGTCAATATGCTGCTGCCGCCGCCAGTACAACACCAAAACGACCATCGATTAGTGTTAGCGATAGTGAAGCAGTCGATCATGATGACGGTGATGATGGTGATCATCATGGTAGCACCACTCATGCTGGCGGTATCAATAAGACAAAACACAATTCATCATCATTAGGTAAGTAAATTTTCAATGTTCAATAATTCAATTCTATGGAGATTTGAAGTGATTTGTTTTTTTCCTAATTCATGTTTAATTATGTTATGTTAATGACACAATTGCTCCTAGGTACATGGGACTGACGAAATCTCAGCACGGATACAAAAAGGCTCGATTGGCTTTTGCCAACCTGCGTCACTTATGGCGTAGGCGTGATATCCGTTCTCTAATCAAAGGACGAGTGTACTGTACAGCAGTTCGCTCCGTTCTCCTATATGGCTGTGAAACATGGCCGTTAAGAGTAGAAGATGTTCGTAGGTTACTGGTATTCGATCATAGGTGTCTCAGAAGCATTGCTCAAGTATCGTGGGACAACCAAGTAAGCAATGTTGTCGTTAGGAAACGGGTGCTAGGTAAGGATATCAGATCAATAGATGAAGTATTGGCGCCGGTGCATTTATTCTTTGTGTTCTCTCAAATCCTAATCTTCTGTGTTCTTCAATACCTCTAGTTTTGACTTTCAAAACTTTTCTCACTGAATCATACTTCGTGAATAATATCTTCTAATCCTAACCTCTCCGATTACTTCTAATTCCCTTACTACTACTATTGGATTTGAAATGACGATTACTTCTCTGTGCTGTGGTGTGGCAACATGAACTGATGTACTTACGTACGAAGTTCTACGTTGCAACTGATTGACTGACTGACTGGGCTATTATTTACTCATGACCATATGAGAGCATTTAGAGAATTAGAGCAAATTCTTCCCAAGAACGCTTAACCTCTAGACCACTGAGCCAACAAAGTTAATATCCTAAGTTAGGATTAGAAGATATTATTCAAGAAGTAGGATTCAATGAGAAAAGTTTAGAAAGTCGAAACTAGAGACGTTGAAGAATCCAGAAGATTAGGATTTGAGAGAACACAAAGAATAAATGCATCGGCCATTGGCGATTGCGAACGATTTTGAGCCATGTCATTCAAGGTCTCTAACCATCGATTATTATCATCTCGCGGACCCCGACCAGGTAGTCGACAATTACTGACATGGCTAAGTTCACTCGTCAATGATTTCATGGATTTCTGACATGTTTTGGTTTGGCCGCCCCTAACTTTCTTCCAACCTATTCCTACACTACAAAACAAAGCTCGACGAGGCAGTCGGTGGTTCGGTATACGCAGCACATGTCCCAACCACCTCAAATGATGAAGTTTCACTACTGCGTCTATTGATCTGCCATTCTTACCTAGCACCCGTTTCCTACCTCTGCCTAGACTATTTCGGTTACGAAAATCGACTCAGTATCATGAAATATATATGTATAAATTGTTTCTTTGGCTATCAAAAAACTCACCAGCCTTGTAACTTTCAAAGAATCTCAGGTTTCATAAAATGGCCACATAACTATTCTATGTCAATAAGACTCTTTCTAATCTGAAGAATAGAGTTTAAATGACTTTTTATGGTTGGACTGTTGAACTGTCTTAATGTTTGGTTATGTTAACGCGCATTTCTTACCGCTAACCGCGTTCACAGTTAGTGAACACAGGCATTGATCGATCCGGTCAAACAAGTGAGCTTGTGGGGGATATTCTGTCATTATCTACATCCAATGAACTATTCATTCACTTATTCATTCATTCAGTGTTTATGTATTTTCTGCTTCAAAAGGGATTCATCAAGAATTGACTGCACAAACTGATGCGCCATCTTCTATATGTGCTAGTCCATTTGCTGGTGATGAAGAACCTGTGGAACCAGTCAATGATACTGGTACAAATGTTTGGTCAAATAAATCTTCATCAGGTTAGTTCGAATTAAAATTGATAGTGATTCGATTGATCACAGGATATGTGTGTTTAGGTTTTGGTTATATGCATGCGTAAATCAACTCAAGTTACCATACCACATTAATTAACACAATGAAATGGAATTATTTTAAGATAAATCTTAGAGTAACTTACTTACTTACTTACTTACGCCTGTTACCCCCAATGGAGCATAGGCCGCCCACCAGTTTTCGCCAACCAACCCAGTCCTGGGCTTCCCTCTCCAGTTCTGTCCAATTTTTGTTCATTCCTCTCATATCTTTCTCTATTTCTCGGCGTAATGTATTCTTTGGCCTTCCTCTTTTCCTTTTGCCCTGAGGGTTCCATGTGAGAGCTTGTCTCGTGACGCAGTAAGGTGCATTTCGGAGTGTGTGTCCGAACCACATCCACCGCTTCTTCCTGATTTCCTCCTCCACTGGAATCTGACTTGCTCTCTCCCACAGTTCGTTGTTGCTGATCGTGTCTGGCCAACGAATACGAAGTATTTTGCGTAGACAGCTGTTAATAAACACTTGTATCCTCTGGATGATGGCTTTGGTAGTTCTCCAAGTTTCCGCTCCATACAGTAGAACTGTCTTGACATTTGTATTGAAAATCCTGATTTTGGTTTTGTTTGAAAGTTGTTTGGAGTTCCAGATATTTTTCAACTGTAGAAATGCATCCCTTGCTTTGCCAATCCGTGCCCTCACATCTGCATCGGATCCACCTTGGTTGTCGATGATGCTGCCCAGATATGTAAAGGTGTTAACGTCCTCCAAGGCATCCCCATCAAGAGTGATTTGGTTGGTGCATGTTGTGTTGCATCGGAGAATTTTGCTTTTTCCTTTATGTATGTTGAGACCTACTGCTGCAGAGGCTGCTGCTACACTGGTCGTCTTCTCTTGCATTTGTTGTTGAGTGTGCGATAGAAGAGCCAAGTCATCTGCGAAGTCCAGATCGTCCAGCTGCGTCCTAACTGTCCAGTTGATACCGTGCTTCCCTCCAGATGTTGACGTTTTCATAATCCAGTCGATGACCAGGAGAAAGAGAAAGGGTGAGAGTAAGCAACCTTGCCTGACACCGGTCTTCACCTCAAAAGAGTCCGTTAGCTGTCCTCCGTGCACGATTTTGCAGTTGAATCCATCATAAGAGTTCCGTATGATGTTAACTATTTTCTCAGGCATCCCATAGTGTCGAAGAAGCCTCCACAGTGTTTTCCTATCCACGCTATCAAATGCTTTCTCGTAGTCGATGAAGTTGATGTAGAGTGGTGAGTTCCATTTTAGAGTAACTTGAAGTAATAATATTAGTATCAGTATGTGCTAGAAAAGAGCGGAGTTAACATATTCAAAAAGTGGTAGCCGGTCACCGACGAATCGGTTCATGTGTTTCATTTGCTCCCTCAGAATCCTGAAGACTCTATGCATCATTGGTTTGAAATCAGGGTTTTTCCAAGTCCATGTGGGTGGATCCTTTGTACCTATTAACTTGATTTCAGGCGTGATCGGACATTTGCCTTTCGTCCGCTCAATTTCGTAAACAACACTTTTAATTCATGAAAATGCTATGAGTAGGTCTTCGTTAACACTGGCTATACACATGTGGCTATATGAGAGCATTTAAAGCGAAAGAGTAGACTCCCCATCCTCAGCTATAACAGGATGTTTGGAGTCCATAAATAATATTTATCCCGTATTCGGAAACAGGTTTTTCATTATGGGCTGACATCAATCATTGTTAAACAGAGAGAGAGAAAGAGAGAGAGAGTATCTCCTATGAGATACTCATCAACTGAAGTAGTGATGCTATATGTGACCGACATATTCTAACTTACCCTGACAGAAACACAATTCTGGTTAGAATAGGTCAGAAGAAAGTTTGGCGGCGCTGTCGATATCAACCCATCAAAAAATCACTGACAGTTTCATTAACTAATGTGTTTATCGGTAGATGTGTTCACAATCTTTGCTAGTTGTTAGTATCTTGAAGGTGTTATGATTCGAAAGTTAGTTAAAATAGGCTAAAAATGTATTGATTTCTTGTATGATTTCATCAAAAGCCAACTAGTCAATCAACAGCAACGTGGAACTTCGTACGTACGTACGTACGTAAATCACTTCAAGTCGCCATATCACATTAGTACAGCGATGCAATTGTCACTTAAAATCTCATAGTTTTAGAGGTAGTTAAAAGTATTAGCAATAATTGTCGGAGAGATTAGGTTACAAGGATATTGTTGAAGAAAGAGAATCTAGGGAAGTAAACTTGAAAACAGAAAGATACAGGTGATGAGCAATTCAGAAGATTACAATTTCAGAGAACACAAAGAATGAATGCACCTACTCCACTGTAAACGATTTTGAACCATGTCGTTCAAGGTCTCTAACGATTGGTGACTTTCGTCTGGCGGACCCCAACGAGGTAGCCTACATCTACCAACATGACTCATTCCACCTATCAGTAACTTCATGGTTTTGTGCCATGTCTTGGTTCGGTCGCCCCTTGCTTTCTTCTAACCTCTACTCCTACACCACGAAACATAGCTCGTCGAGGCAATCGGTGGTTCGGCATACGTAACACATATCTCAACCACTTCAAATGATGAATTTTCATGACTTTATCAAAAATAATCAAACTTCAATCGGTGATGATCGATTATAGCCTATTGGGTTTACTGTTTCTAGTCAGTCAGTCAGCTCCAACGTAGAACTTCGTACATGCCTACATCAATTCAGGTTGCCACACTGCATTAGCTAGCACAGAGACGTCCCGACCGAAGCTGCTACCTTGACGTCGAGGTCGGGCTTGCCTATCGGGATGAACCAACCGAGCTATATTGGCTGGAACATATGTTCCTGAAGGTTCTACCATGCCAGGCAGGTCGATTGGAGAACGATGAGACCAAAAGCAGCTACTCAAGGTCTGAGGGCGAAGTCGTACTGCTGACTGACTATAGAGGGATGTGACAGCAGTAAGGTGTTTCCCTCCGACAACCAGCATCTGCAGCGATGCTGCCTTCTCACAAGGAAGGAAGGGTTAGAAAAGGTCGACCCTAAAAATGTCACACCTCACCCTACCTCACGGATTTCCGTCTCCTTGGGTAAGGGTGCCCACTAAGGGCTTTCAAGAGCGGAGCTAAAACTCAAAAAATTTCTCATAAAAAGGCCATGCGTGATCGGCCTCAAGCAGTTGTCCCTTGGGTTCTGCGGTCACGTACCCAGGTCTTTAAGACCAACATTTATCTGCCTTCTTTTTCAGGTTCCTCAAGAAACAACCTTCCACGGTGTGGGCATCCGGGAAGTGATAACCGCCTTCATACCTGTAACAGCACACATACCCCTAGCACAGAGACGCAATTGTCAGTTTAAATCCCATAGTGGTTGAGATAGTGGAAGTATTATTACTGTTTTTAACATCTGGATCATGAGTTATTTAATGTGTTTTTCTGTTCTATCTCTGTCTATTTCCTCCATAGCTCATGTGGAACCAGCACATGGTAACAACAGTAAACATTCAGCTATTGATGACTTACTTGGTCTTGATCTAATGTCCACTGATGAGGATACTACTATTCCACCAACTAATATTCAACCTATTCCAGTGTCAGTTCCAAGCGCATCTGTTGGAAAAGAGAATGAATCAAAGGGTTCAGTTGTTGACACTACGAATAGTACTTCTGCTGCCGTTGCTGCTGACACTCATACAACAACAGGTTCTGCTTCAGGTAAGAAGGATAGTTTTCCTGGCTGTTTAATTCTTGAGTCTTTTTCAAGCTAAGCTAGGAATCCCTTAAAATAGTTAAATGATGTTAATATTGATTCAGTTTCCGGTTAGTAAGTAGCTGATCACCAGAATCGTTGCTGCTTGCGTTATTCGTTCCGTGAGAATCCTTTTGACCAATTACGCCAATTAGTTTGGAATCAGTGTTTTCTTATTCTCTTAGGTTGCAGCTTAAGTTCCCGACCAACTTGGCTTAATGGTTTCCGTTGCCATTTACTTTCATTTCAACACAAGATAGTAAAAGATATTTTATGGGCACAATGGTTGTAGATGAGTAGTAGTAGTGGCCTTTGAAAGGCCATTCGTCAGGGAAAACTGACTCGCCTCATCTCCTTCCCGTTGTGAGGCGTCAGTGTCGCTGCAGATACTAGATTTCCGAGGAAAACACCTGATTGCTGTTTGTTACATCACCTTTCAGTCCATTAGAATAACTCGAACTTCCGACTGTAAACTACTACTAACTAATTAACTAACTAAATGTAACGTAGAACTTCGTACGTATGTACATAAGTTCAGGTTGCCATACCACATTATTAGCACAGAGACGCAAATGTCAAATCAAATCCCATAGTGATAAACATAGTAGAGGTATTATTGGTAATGAAGAAGACTAGGGTAGTTTGAAGATATTATTCAAGAAGTATAATAATTCAGTGAGATAAGTTTAGAAAGACAAAGGTAGGGGTACTGACGAATCCAGAAGATTAGGATTTGAGAGAGCACTACGCATGGATGCACTTGAGCCATTGCAAACGATTCTGAGCCATGTCATTCAAGGTCTCTAACCATTGGTGACTTTCGTCTCGCGGACCCCAACCAGGTAGTCTACATCTACCAACATCACTCAGTCCACTTGTCAGCGATTTGATGGATTGCTGTTATGTTTTGGTCCGACCACCCCTAACTTTCGTCTAACCTATTCTTACACTGCAAAATATTATTCGTTGAGGCAGTCGGTAGTTAGGCATTCGTAACACATGTCCCAACCACCTCAACTGATGAAGTTTCACCACTTCATCTATTGATCTGCCATCCTTATCTAGTACTCGTTCCCTAACGACAGCATTGCTTACTCGGTTGTCCCACGATATACGATCAATGCTTCTAAAGACATCTATGATCGAATACTAGTAACCTACGAATATCTTCTACTCTTAACAGCCATGTTTCGCATCCATATAGTCGAACGGAGTGAACTGCTACGCAGTACACCCATCCTTTGGTTAACGAACGAATATCTCGCTTACGTCATAAACAGCGTAAATTGGCAAAATCAAATCGAGCTTTCTTTATCCGCTCTGAGATTTCATCAATCACCAGGCTATGAGACTACTGATGAGACTACTACTTTTAGTCTTACCGTTTTCTAATCGATCACCATGTCAAGGTGCAGTGAACGAGAACTCAGGTGAAGGCAACCGAATTGTATTTAACGAAAATTACAGAGTTACTCAGTAAAATCGGAAAACTATATCGTAAACGGTTAATTTGCAAATCTTCAATCCATCATTATCCAACTGGACTGTTCCTGTTGCAAAACATCAATCGATTGTCACTATTCATGCGTTTCATACAAATTCCATTGTGTTCTAACTAACTCTTCTTTTCTTGATCTTCCCCCATCTTCTGCAGCCAGACATTACGTTGACACTCACGTCATATACTACTTATAAGTAGCGCGCACCACAAAGGTAGTAGTAGCTACGGTCGGCATAAGCTAAAATTATTGTTCTTTCCTAATACAATTGAATGGCTTTTTCTCTCTCTGTCTCTTTCACTTCCATCCATTCAATAGTGCTTGATGATCTCCTGTTATTGGATCCACTTTTGGAGAAAGATTCTGTCGGTAGTGCTACTACTACTACTACAGTGAAAACACCGGTGACTAATTCTTCTGCAATGTTTAATAATAATTCACCACTGCCTGCAGGTATGTTTTGTGTGTGTGTGTGCGTGTATGTTCATTCATTCGTGTCAATCTTAATATATTCCATGGAGTGAGTGATGATGATGATGATGTGGTATGGGGCAGCAACCTGAACTGATTTAATTATTACGTACGTACGAAGTTCTGCATTGTATCTATCTGTCCTGTCCATGGAGTGATTAATATGCCTTAACTAGTTTAAAGTTTCTTTTTTTTGCGGGGTTGATTTCAGAATGCATTGAAAATCGATAATGATTAAATGTAATGTAATCTCATGTATCAATCATTGTTAGGCGATCATTAAAAAAAAAGCCTTGAAGCACTGGATGGCTGGCTATCAAGTTCTAGTATGGGACTACTGTTCAACAGTAGGGATTCTACAATCCTCATTTGCAGGAATCAAATTGGCTTCGTGGAAAAATTCCTCAGATCAGTGCTGTTCAACCCTGTTGAGTGCGTAGGCTGAGGTTGCTCAAAACATTAGTTTGACCAAAGTTAGACATTTGCACCAATGGATGTCCGACTCAGTAGCCCAGTGGTTAAGCGTTCGCACCCCAGATCGAATGTCCTAGGTTCGACAACAGTGAGTGAGTGTCGTGGATGCACACTACTGATGAGTCTCATACTCACTCAGTCAGTCAGTCAGTTACAAGATAGAATTTCGTACGTAGGTACATCAGTTCAGGTTGCTATACCGTAATAATACAGAGATACAACTGTCAGTTCAAACCCTATAATGGTAGAGATAGTCGAAGTATTTGCGGTAATGGCGAAGATTAGGGTTCGGAGATATTATTCAAGAAGTATAATTCAGTGAGATAAGGTTAGGAAGAAAAAGATTGAAGTAATGAGGAATTCAGAAGATTAGGATTTCAGAGAGCACAAAGAATGGATGCACTTGCGCCATTCCAAACGATTTTGAACCATGTCATTCAAGATCTAAAACCGTCGGTTAGTATCATCTCGCGGGCCTCAACCAGGTTGTCTGCATTTACCAACATAACTCAGTCCACTGATTAGTGAATTCATGGATTTGTGCCATGTTTTGGTTTGGCCGCCCCTAACTTTCTTCCAACCTACTCCCACACCACAAAACATCGCTCATCGAGGCAGCAGGTGGTCGGGCATTCGTAACACATCTTCTAGCCACCTCAACTGATGAAGTTTCAATGCCTCATCTATTAATTTGCCATCCCTACCTAGAACTCGTCTCCTAACGACAGCATTGCTTACTCGATTGACCCAGGATACGCGAGCAATGCTTCGAATAACCCTGTGATCGAAAACCAGCAACTTATGAATATCCTCCACTCTGACTGGCCATGTTTCTCAGTCATAAAGTAGAACGGAGTAGATTCGTCCTTTGATTAGCAAATGGGATATCTCATCTACGCCACCGAACAATCTCTCTCTCTCTCTCTTGAATAATGTTTAAAATCTTTCGAATATAATAGAATGTTGACATTTTCATTATTCAATATTTTCATGAATTGTTTGTTAACCAAATATTTTTCGCCTATTCTAAAGAGAATGTGTTATTATTTTTGTTTTATTTTAATTTTGAAAAAATAAACTAAACTAAACTAAACCGAAAAAAACAGGCTTAAAACCTGTACCTTCAACTGTTCCAATACGTCCAGCTGTTGTTATGAATGCATCACAAAACAATAAGAACCCATTGGATGCATTAGATAGTACTTTATCAAATTTAGCATCAAGTCTAGGCGGTCAACAATCATGGGGTACGACTAATTTGAAGGTATGTTCTTTAAATGTATGCTTATATATGTATGTATATATATGTATATACTTCAATATAGAGTTGTATGGAGACTGTTGAGCAGCTATACTGTGAATCTCATGAGTCGATCAATGTTAGGCGGTATTTATGGGCGGGCACTGCTGAAGAAGTCCCATGCTAGGACTTGATGGTTGTCCTCTACTCTTAGGTTCTTAATGGTAGCCTAACATTGTGTTACGGCTGCATGTAAAAACACGCCAACTTGATATACTCGAACTATTACGAGTTTGCCTAGTCGGAAAACGAGAGCGATGATCGAGGATCCGGTGACACGACATGCTACTCAAATCCGATTATTCCAACCCCCATATTGAGTGAAAATAAGAATACTTGAATGTGAAGTAGAATCTGTATTCTACAAGCATCCAGAAAGTACGAGGTCCGAGTCCAGAAGAGAATCAGGATCCCGGACTAGGGATCCGGTACCAGGTCCTGGTCCTGGTCGTAGTCATAAACCGTTACAAATAATGCGTATTTATACATTTTGGTCGAATAGGAAACATCATCTAATTATGTGACATTGACAGTTAAGACGACCAATAGGAAGTAACATTTGAAGTGACACTGATAGTCAGGACAACCAATAAGAAACAACATTGAAGTATTTGACTTTGACAGTTAAAACGACCATAATTTTGACCAATAGAAATCGTCCAATGGGATTTGACCAATAATTCTCTTAGGATATTGGATGAATATTCTAACACATTGGTCGACTCATGATTCCTATATATATATATATTTACTGCATGTCTGCATATGTCTGCATATTTGATTACTTTTTGCATGTTCTTATTGTTTCACAGAAGAAACCATTGGCTGAAACTGAGAAATGAACGGTGAGAACATTTCTTGCATTCATGGGAATAATTATCTCTGGTTAATTTTTCTTACCGTCGATGTAGACTGTACACTGTTTTGACCCTTCAGTAACTATGTTAGATTCTAGGTAGGGCTCACCACTTTGGTGGTTTCCGATGACTGTGATATGCACAATCGCTCGACTCTGCTGTGAAATAACTCTTCCCTTCCATCGTACTTAGGCAAACGCCGTTTATGTGACGGCGGTAATAAGAAGCATAAAGGCAGAATGAAGTAGAGTGCAGAAAGCAAGTGAGCCAACTCCATGCGATGATGTATGTCTGAGTATTTATAGTCAGACAAGATTGACATGTAGCAGCAAGCAAAGTAAGGTTATAAGCAACTAATTGATAAGGTCGAAAGACGACATCAGTCAGTCAGTTAGTCAATTACAACGTAGAACTTCGTGAGTAAGTACATCAGTTCAATTTGCCGTACCTTGATTAGCACACAGAGATGCAATTGTCAATTCAAATCTCATAGTATTAGAAGGAGTAGAAGTATTAGCAGTAATCGAAGAGATTAGTGAAATAAACTTAAAGAGAAAAAGATGGAGGTGATGAGGAATCCAGAAGATTACAATTTGAAAGAACACAAAGAATGAATAACCCTTCGCCATTGCAAACGGTTTTGAGCCATGTTATTCAGTGTCTCTAACCATTGATTACTATCAGCTCGCGGACCCTAACCTAGTCTACACTTACCAACATGGCTCAGTCTACTTGTGTCAGTGACTACGTGGATTGGTGCCATGTTTTAGTCTGGCCACGCCTAACTTTCTATCAGCCTACCCCTACATCGCAAAACATAGCTTGACAAGACAGTCGGTGGTTAGGCACACGTAACACATGTCCCATATCTAGATTTATTAGCGCAGTTGGATCACACACACACACACATCATTCTTACCGTCTTGACTACATCAGTTATTGCAATAGACAGGAAGTCAATGCCCACATAATCCCATGCTAATGTTGATCCTCACTCCCTAGACACATATACCTTGCCAGTGACACGTTCTTATTTACTTTTGAAAATTTAAAACGGCCTGAATATGTGTTGTAATCAGTTACTCTAACCCACTCCCTCATGGTCATTCGCCCAATTACTGATATAATTGCTTTCACTCGAATTTTCACATAACTCATTGACTACACAATAAGATCGACGAGCGCATAGAAAATCAAAAGAACTTTATATTCTGAACCTTTAGACTATCATGTAAATTGTGAATCGATCATAGTTAGAACACCATTAAAAACTTGGAAGCACTACTGGCCGACTGTGCTAACTAGTAATTAGCTTTGTGTAGAAATTCTTAAAGTTCTAATGTGAATCTGTAGCCAATAGAGTTCAAGCCTTTTCGAGTGTTATTAGTCAGTTAGTTAGTTACGCACCGAAGACAATGACTGAAGTCGCGGCGTTTTATATCACACACCGTTGGGGGAATGTCGATTAAAGTGGTGTGGATGTTAAGCATGTTCGCTCAGCATACCTAAGATCTTGTGTGTTCGACTTGCGCGTGTGTGTGCGCACTGATCGTGGATGCGCAGCACATACTAGGATGATGAAACGGTCATTGTGAATGCTTCGGTTCAAATGAAAGCAAGCACATTTTATTTATTAAACAGATCATGATGCTGCTCTACTTGTTCGCCTTTTTTTTTCTTCTGTTTTCAGTGAATTTTTTCGCTGATCCTCTGAAATTGATCGGATGGATGGCCCATTCCATTCCACAGAATGATATTATTATCTTATAAATAAATATATATCTCTCTATATATATATGAATATACATATTTATATATATATATATCGGATAGAAAGGTATTTTCTTCTTTGATTCCCGCTCCTCTCTCTCTCTCTGTCGCCATTCTTCTATTTATAATCACATCATTTGAGAATTCGTTGATGCTCTTGATTACATTGCTGTTTTTCTTCTGACATACAGTTTTACAGTTTTACATTGATCATGTGTTGTGTTATATATGCTTGCATGCATAATATTCATTTTTCTCCTTACACATATATTATAATTGTCATTATTTTACATGTAAGCTTTAGTACTACTACTAATATTGCTGCAAGTAGTACTTACTACTACTCCGACTACTACTTCTACCACTACTACTACTAATGCTACTACTACTATTATTGCTGCAAGTAGTACTTACTACTTAGAACTACTGATACTACTACTACTACTACTTCTACCACTCATAGTACTACTACTAATATTGCTACAAGTAGTACTTACTACTACTCCGACTACTACTTCTACCACTACTACTGCTACTACTACTACTACTACTACTACTACTACTACTACTACTACTACTACTACTACTACTACTACTACTACTACTACTACTACTACTACTACTGCTACTACCACTACTACTACTTACTACCACTCTATTACTACTACTAATATTGCTGCAAGTAGTACTTACTACTACTCCGACTACTACTTCTACCACTACTACTTCTACCACTACTACTACTAATGCTACTCCGACTACCTACTACTAATGCTACTACTACTCACACTACTACTATTACTACTGTTATTATTGCTGCAAGTAGTACTTACTACTTACTACTACTACGATGTGTAGTGTTAGCATTTCACCAACAATTAAAAAAACAAGACAGACACATATTCCATTCCATTCCAACTAACAACTCTCTTTCTTTGACAATGTTTTTTCAGTCCATTTCATACACGTACACGTATATATATACATATATATTTATGTTTTAATGAGTTTCTTTTCAAAATGCCAGCTAATTTTTTTCTGTTCTCTCTCTTTGACCTATATGACATCACAAAATGAAATGTTCGCTTAATTAATCAGGGTGATGATGATGATGATTATTTAAGAGAGGAATAAAAAATAGATGCTTCAATAAAATTCGAGTTCTGTTTATTATTATTTTTTTTTTAAATTTTGTCTCATAAAAAAATTCTTGGTTTATAGTTTTTAGTGTATGTATTTGTTACGCTCGTCACTACTAGGTATGTTTGAAGCTATTACGAGTTTACGAGTTTAGTCGATAAACGCGAACGAGACAATAAACCAGCGTCCAGATAGGCTACCTTGAAACCCAAGCGGAAGTAAGAAGTCTTGGTAAGCGTAGAAAGTATATTCTACAAACACCCAGCAGTCACACAATACAATCAAGCATACAACTCTCGTTTATTTATACATCATAGAAATGTCCTTGGGACAGTCACAAAAATAGCATACTAAAATACACAGCAACCAATCACAGCCAAGGATTTTCCCTGGTCGGAAATGAAATCTCAAGGTTAACTGATCAGCCCATGCTCACAAACGTGAAATCCAAAATTAAGGCATTTATCAAGCGAATTTTGGGGATCTAACATCCCCAACAGTATTATTGCATTCTGTACAATTAAGTGTTTTGTTCAAAATATGTTACGCTTGTGCACGTAAATACGTCATTTCGATATGCTTTGAACTAGTACGAGTTGTTTACCTTAGTCGGAAAATAGGAGAGAGAGAGAGAGGATCGAGGATCCCGCGAAACAACATGCTACTCAAAAAAGAAGAAGATTTGATATGAAGTAGAACGTGTATTCTACAAGCATCCAGAAAGTACGAGATCCGAATCCAGAGGAGAATTAGGATCCCGGTCTAGGGATCCGGGACCGGGTCCTGATCCTGGTCATAAAATGTTACAGATAATGCGTATTTATACATTTTGGTCGAATGAGGAACAGCATCGAATTCTGTGACATTAACAGTTAAGACGACCAATGGGAGAGAACATTTGAAGTGACATTGATAGTCAGGACAACCAATAAGAAACAGCATTGGAGCATGTGACATTGATATCTACTAGGACGACCATAAAATTGACCAATAGGAATTGACCAATAATAATTCTCTTAGGATATTGAATGAATATCCTAACAAAATGACAGTATATGTACGCCTACGTTTTTTTTACTAGTTAGCGTCTTTTAATGAACGTTTCACTTTTCGACTGGATGGGATCGTTAACCCCCCAGGCTTGGAATTGGCAGTCGTCTCAGAGGGGTTTCAGGCAGATTTCATCTGAAAAGAAAACCATTACGACTGTAGAAAATATCGATCAGTTTGTACACTTAACCGCTATTTCGCCTTCGCAAATATCATATGCTGTATGGTTGATATGCTTGTATTAGACCAATGATTCAGAGATACGATAGGCTACTCTATTCCGATCGTCCCAGTCCCCACTAACTACAGGAAGAAGTCTTGATAAGAGGCAGAGAGATGTATTCCATAAGCAACCAGAAAGTACGAGGTCCACAAGTAAACAACTCAAGCTAATTTATACAATGATAGAAACGTCCTTAGTGAGAGCCACAAAATAGCGTACTAAAACAATACATCAACCAATGACAATCAGCGATTTTCCGAGCGGGGAACATAAGCTAAAGGTCAAAATGAGCGTCTTTGACACGAAAACATAAGAATTCAAAATCTCAAAATGAAATTACAAAATTAGGATCTATTCTAAGTGAGTTCTGGGGATCAAACGTCCTCAACAATAATGGTCTGGTTTATAAGTGAGGTAATATTGAACTGATCATATGTTACAAAGTCTAGATACGGAGAAATTTATCAAGATCAAAAAGAGCAGGTGGTTTACAGAAAGTGACTACTTTTGCGTAAGATGCCTTTGTTGGTAATTATATAGTTTACGATGTTGCAGCCCTGAATTCGTGATAACTGTATCAACCATTCCGATTTGAACATCTCCTGTCTCAACGTCTTAAAGTCATCGGGAGTAAATAATGTATGGTACCAATCTGCTTGTGCATTTCTTAGCTTCAAGTTATCGGTTTATATGTTATCCCACTTGTTGTACTCTAACTCATTTATCTTCCTTACTGAGATATCTATTTAACACGATGAATGTTTGGTGCGGGATTCGGACTGCTTGAACTTGCTTGTACCGTTGATACAAAAACAGTCACCCTCTTACAATGGTAGGAAGAGATTACAAAACTTCAGCTATTCAAGTAACACTACACCTTACCCCACCGATTCCCCCCCCCTGACAGCGAGGCCTTTTGATGAGCGGACTTAACAGGTCAAACCTTCCCATAAAAAGGCCGTGTTGTTGTTCCTTGGGCTCTACGGTCACGCTCCCAGATCAATAAGACCATCAATAACCCAATATCCTTTCAGGTTCCTCAGAAATATCAAACCTCGAATTGGGCAGTCTGGAAGTGACATCCACCCTCATACACCACTATTAGTACATGAGATCAATTTGCTCACAGTCACCTCTTTTAATAACTATATAATCTGCAAGTCTAACCGTTCTTGTAAACCTTTATCACTTCGCTCCGCTAATGCTAATGTTCTGACTATAATAAACGTTATTCCCTGATCTCCTAAATTCCGCTTTCTAATGTTCGGACATTGTACCGAATAGGATACAGGCTTCTTTATCTAGGACTTTAGAATCTCACACTGTTGATGTATGCTACGTCTCCGAAACGTGCAACCAGGATTTGAGTACATTCATTCATTTTATCCATCATGTTAAATGCGAGACGACGGGATTCACACTTCTTGTATCTTGAAGTCCTACTGTTACTTCCTGTGACATCACTGGTCTAGGCATAACATTGAGTTCTGTTGAAGAACTATCTCTTTAGAGTGGATCCCAGCAGATATTCACTTGAGGTCTGCCCGACTAAACGGGATAGTAAGAATTCGTGAAGTGAGTTGAGTATGGTATACGGATCCGAAGTATTTTGCTTAGACAACTGTTAATAAATACTTTTATCTTCTGGTTGACGACCTTTGTAGTTCTCCAAGTTTCTGCTCCATACAATGGAACGATGTTGACGTTTGTACTAAAAATCTCGCCTTCAAGAAGTTCTTCAATTGTAGAAATACCACGCTTGTTTTGCCAATCCGCGCCTTCAAATCTGCATCAGATTCAGTAGGCTGCTCAGATATGTCAAGGTTCATATATCTTCAAAAGCTTTTACATCAAGTGTGATTTCATTGATGATTGTTGTGTTATATCGGAGATTCTTACTGTTTTCTTTAGTGTATATTAAGACCTACTGTTGGTGAGGTTGCTGTTACACTGGTCATCTTCTCTTGCATTTCTTGTAGCTTGTAGGGTAGAAGATCCAGATCACCCAGTTGCATCCAAACTATCCACTACATCATGTACTTCTCTCCTCCACATGTTAACATCTTCATAATCCAATCAATTACCAAGAGAAAGATGTTAGGATATTCATCCAATATCCTAAGAGAATCATTGGTCAAATCCTATTGGACGATTTCTATTGGTCAAAATTATGGTCGTTTTAACTGTCAAAGTCAAATACTTCAATGTTTTCTCTTATTGGTCATCCGGACTGTCAATGTCATTTCAAATGTTACTTCCTATTGGTCGTCTTAACTCTCAATGTCACAGAATTCGATGCTGTTTGTCATTCGACCAAAATGTATAAATACGCATTATCTGTAACGTTTTATGACTACGACCAGGACCAGGACCCGGTACCAGATCCCTAGTCTGGAATCCTGATTCTCTTCTGGATTCGAACCGCGTACTTTCTGGATGCTTGTAGAATACCAGTTCTACTTCATATCACGTCTTCTATTTTTAACTAAATTTGGGGGTTGTAACAATCGGATTCGAGTAGTACGTCGTGTCACCGGATCCTCGCTTTCGTTTCTGACTAGGTAAACTCGTAATGGTTCAGGTATATCAAGTTGACCTGTTTACGTGCAGGCGTAACAAAAGATGACAATAATCAACCTTACTTGACATGATTTCCTACGGTAGACAGTCATTCACTGAAATTAAATATATCACATCGACTTACCTTCCAGCTTTTTGTACCTTGCGAGTAGTGACGTGCAATTACGATGTTTATTATGGTGAATGCAAATGCAATGAGTATTATTACACAACAACTTATGAATAACACCAGTCTCCATGTTTTTGTAGAATTTTGTAAATGTATACCATAAAATATAGAGATCAATGTCAACGGTAATATGATAAAGATAACTATATCATGTTCATACCAATTGACAAGTGGAGTGGCTAGTCCAATGCCAATGAGTAAAATTAACATCTAGAGAGAGAGAGAGAGAGTGAACAATTAGAGAGAGAGAGAAATATATATATATATATATATACATATAGTTGAAAGAATCATTCGACAAAGTGTTGTTTTACTCAAGAGGATGTTTGTTGTTTAAATGAATAGTTGCGTTAGTTATTTTCATGACTGATAGTAGTTATGCCATAACTAACCAATCAGATTGTGGTTTAATCGTTCATCACATGATCTGCCCTGACGTGTCTGTAAATCTTTGTTGTAAATGACCTACAAATTGATTGACATTATTATCTTATTATATTGATTGATATGACTCATACCTGTAGCTTTCCGATACATAGACTCTGTGCACGCTAATATTACGTTTACCGACCGTTCTAGAATTACATCTGTAGGACAAATTAAATCCTACAAGTTGTATATAATGCAACTTATTGGATATTGTAAAATATTTCTTGAATGAATCGTTTATATTGAAATCAATCATTGTTATATCAGTATTAGAAATGTGGAAATGTTGGATAGTGGAGAAAATTTGTAGCTCAGTTGGATGATTGTTGTGATGTTTCGTTCAATGAACTGGATGTTGTTTTGATTGTGGAGGACAAAATGGCAAAGGAAAAAAAAAACAAAAAACCCATATACAAAATCAATTGCTCAGATTGTGAAAAATCGCCACGTAGGACCCAATTTATCAATAAATCAGAAAAATCACAGGCAAACATAGAATCAAGAAACAGATCAAAAAAGGGGGATACAATGACAACAAAGGTGCAGACAATTATAGGTTTAAGGTCAACAGCAACCAATCAAGATCGAGGTTAACAGAACAAGCTACATGTCAAACGTTGAGAAATTCGAATACTTCACTTCTACTATCTGAAGTTTGTGCTGATGATGTTGTTCAGCAGAAGAACAATGAAAGCTCCACAGATGAAACTTCTAGCTCAAAGAACGAAACACGACAACAGGACTCAAAAGCAATGCCCGTCCACGACCTCAGGTCTCAGGAATCCAACTCAGGACTTTCAATCACACGCGCGAACGCTTAACCTCTAGATCACTGGGCCGTCGTCATTCAATGGTGTTAATGTGCAACTTTTTGACAATCTATGGAATTTCGCTCTAAGAGACCGAAGGTCCTAGGTCCAGTTCTGTCGTGCAGAGGTCGTGGGTGCGCATTTGTTATGAGTTTCATTCTAGTACGAAACGGCCGTTCAGTGCTAATGCTGCTCTAACATCCACTGATTCATTATTTCAGCATGAAACAACAAGCTCCACAACTCTGAATGAATTTGCTTATCGATTACACAATGTAGATGTTACTTGATGCGCTGCAATTCATGTAATGAATGTTAAAACATGAATAGTTTGAAAATAACCATCGGATAAATCATTATGTATGTAGTACAAGCGATTATTCTAAGAAGCCAACATTTATCTTTAAGATTCAATCTAACATGATTCACATATATATTATTTCCTACTTATTAATTACAATCTAAATTTACGATCTAATTATTTACCTACTTACTCACTTTTGCCTGTCACCCTCAATAGATCATAGGCTGCCGACCAGTTTTCTCCAACCAACTCTGTCCTAGGCATCCCTTTCCAGTTCATTCTTCTCATATCTTTCTCTATTTCTCAACGTATTGTGTTCCTTGGCCTTCCTCTTTTCTTTCTACCTTGAGAGCTACAAGAAAGACCTTGTCTTGTTACTCGGTTGGGTGCCTTTCACAGTGTGCCCTATACACTTTCGCCGCTTCTTCCTCACTTCCTTCCTCCGTTGGAATCTGGTTTGTTCTCTTACACAGTAGGTGGTTGCTTATAGTGTCTGGTCAACGAATCCAAAGTATTTTGTGTAGACAACTGTTAATAAACACCTGTATCTTCTGGATGATGGCTTTCGTAGTTTTCTAAGTTTCCGCTCCATACAGTAGAACTGTCTTCACATTTGTATTGAAAATGCTGATTTTGGTTTTGGTTGAAAGTTGTTTGGAGTTCCAGATATTTTTCAGTTGTAGAAATGCAGCCCTTGTTTAACCGATCCGTGCCTTCACATGTACATAGGATCCACCTTGGTTTTCGATAATGCCGGCGAGATATGTAAAGGTGTCAACATCCTCCCAGGCATATCCATCAGGAGTGATTTGGTTTGTGCATGTTGTGTTGTATCAGAGAATCTTGCTTTTCACTTTATATATGTTGGGACCTACTGCTGCTCAGGCTGCTGCTACATTGATCCTCTTCTCTTGCATTTAGGATCGAATGGAAACAATATTTTCTCACGTATCAGTTATTCATTAATTCGAACGCATACTGTAAAATGTTTGTAAATCGTCTTCTTTTTAGTCCGAGATCTGACTTCAATTAGCACGAGCGATTGAATATTTCATGAATTAAGGCCTCCATCTAATTTCAGTATGTTATTCTTGGGCGAACCGCGTTTGTCAGACGGTGACAGTAAGATGCCAAATAAAAATTCATGTTTCATCTGATCGATCACGCAGACACACGTGAGGATTCAAAGCGGGAAAGCAAAGCTAAACGAAGTGCAGAAGGCGAGTCAATCAACCTGATTGATCAAGTATGACTAAACTAGAACTGAGATGACCGAAGTGAGCAATGCTAGCACACACACACACCCACTCAAGTAAAAACAATCAAGATTTCTAGCGAATAATTGCCAAGGTAACTGGACGTGTATAGAATTGTGACTTGAGCACAATAAAAGTTAATTAGTTTTTCCTTAAAAGCTGTGACAAGCCATGCGGAGTTAACATACACTATAGTCTACATTCAATATACAATTAACTTTTTGAATACTGTTAGGATATTCATCCAATATCCTAAGAGAATCATTGGTCAAATCCTATTGGACGATTTCTATTGGTCAAAATTATGGTCGTTTTAACTGTCAAAGTCAAATACTTCAATGTTGTCTCTTATTGGTTATCCAGACTGTCAATGTCATTTCAAATGTTACTTCCTATTGGTCGTCTTAACTCTCAACGTCACAGAATTCGATGCTGTTTCCTATTCGACCAAAATGTATAAATACGCATTATGTGTAACATTTTATGACCATCATCAGGACCAGCGCTCGGTCCCGGATCCTGATTCTCTTCTAGATTCAGACCTCGTACTCTCTGGATGCTTGTAGAATACTACTTCTACTTCATTTCATGTCTTCTAATTTTCACTGAATATGGGGGTTGGAATAAACGGATTTGAGTATCATGTCGTGTCACCGGATCTTCGCTCTCGTTTTCTGACTAGATAAACTCGTCATAGTTTAAGTATATCATCAAGTTGACGTGTTTTTACGTGCAGGCGTAACAAATACTCAATGAAAATGTTTTCGAAATCATAAATGTCATTCAATGATAAATCAATTTTTTCGACTAACAGTTATCATCATAAAAATAGCATTGAATAACGATGCAGTATGAAATTTTTTAATATTTATTATAAGTGATCCAAGTAATAATCCGACACCTCTGAAATAATTAAGAAACAAAAGAAAAATTGAAATTGAGTAAAAAAAAAGTATGCAACGAATTGAACCAAAGTGTACATTGATCATTGAACAGAATTTAAACAAAAAACAACAACCACTTCTATCTAGTATATATGAGTATATATACTAGGTGAAGGTGTCAGATCAATAGATGAAGTGGTGAATATTGATGAGTTGAAATGATTGGGTGATGTGTTACGAATGCTCAACCACCGACTGTCTCATCGAGCGATGTTATGTGATGAAGGAGTAGGCTGGGGGCGGTCAAACCAAAACATGGCACAAATCCATAAAGTCATTGACAAGTGTACTAAGTCATGTCGGTAGATGTGGGCTATCTGGTTGGGGCCCACGAGATGACAGTAAACGATGGTTAAAGATCTTGAACGATATGGCTTAGGATCGTTTGCAATGGCGCAAGTGCATCCATTCGTTGTGCTCTCTCAAACCCTAATCTTCTGGATTCGTCAACACCCCTACCTTTGTCTTTCTAACCTTATCTCACCCACTGGATTATACTTCTTGAATAATATCTTCAAACTACCCTAGTCTTCTTCATTACCAATAATACCTCTACTATGTCTATCACTATGGGATTTGATTTGACATTTGCATCTCTCTGCTAATGTGTTATAGCAACCTGAACTTATGTACATACGTACGAAGTTCTACGTCGCAACTGACTGACTGACTAACTGAGAGACCTTAAGTGAAACGGCTCAGAATCGTTTGCAATGGCGCAGCTGCAATCATTCTTTGTGCTATCTCTCAAATTCTACTAATCAGAATTTCTCATAAACATCATCTTTCTCTTTTCTAAATTGATTTCACTAAATTAAACGTCTTGAATAATATAATCTTCTCCAATACTTCTCTAATAATTTTACTGCATCTACCACTATGGGATTTAAAATGACAATCACATCTCTCTGTGGTAATTTGGTAAGGCGACTTTAACTGATCTACCTACGTACAAATTTCTACATTGTAGTTGAATAACTGGCTGATATTTGTTTGTGAACGATTCGGTCTTGTATGCTGTTACGGGTATGAGGCTGCCCACACCGTGGAAGGTTGTTTCTTGAGGAACCTGGAAAGGAAGGTGTATTAGTGTCGGTCTTAGACACCTGGGAGTTTGACCGCAGAGTCCGAAGGACAACTGCTTGAGGCCGGTCACGCACGGCCTTTTTATGAAAGTATTAGCTCCACTCTTTTTAAAAGACATTATTGGGCAGCCCTTACTGCCGGAGACGAGGATCCGTGACGTAATGTGAGGTGTGACATCTTAAGGGTCGACCTTTTCTGACCCTTTCTTCCTTTGAAAAGGTACTATCGCTGCAGACGCTGGTTATCCGAGGGACAAACCTTACTGCTGTCACACCCCTCTGCAGTCAGCAGTACGACTTTGCTCTCAGTCCTTGAGTAGCTGCTTTTAGTCTCATCGTTCTCCAATCGACCTGCCTGGCATGGTAGAACCTTGAGGAACATATGTTCTAGCCAGTAAAGCTCGATTGGGTCATCACGATAGGCAAGGCCGACCACCACGTCAAGGTACCAGCTTCGTTCGGGAACTGACTGATATATATATATATATATATATATATATATATATAACTGTACAATGAATCGCCAATTGTTCAAATGAACAACCATTTTACATGGATATGTTCAAAAAATACTCAACGTAATTGATAATACGAATGTTCGATGAGTGATTGTCATGAATATCTAATTTTATTCCTTTTTATCTAATGATGATCAGATAAAATGTAGACGATTTCTTAATCACTTACCTACCTACATACCTACTTACTTACTTACTTACTTATTTATTTGCTTACTTACTTACTAATGCACTTACTTACTTACTTACTTACTTACTTACTTACTTACTTACTTACTTACTTACTTACTTACTTATGCACTTACTTACTTACTTACTCACTCACTTACTTACTTACTTACTTATGCACTTACTTACCTACCTACTTACCTACTTAATTGCTTACTTACTTACTTGCTTACTTACTCAAGCCTGTTACAGCCAGTGGAGTATATGCCGTCAAGCAGCGAATTATTATACTGGTTAACAATTTTTTAGCCAGTTGGTTTTCTACGGAATGCCGAACCGTCCTACTTTATCCTGGCTTGAGACTGGCGGTAACCCTAGTTAGTCTTCTAGCATAGATGGAAACGATTTCTACTCAAATGAAAATGAAACTATTTTTTTTTGGCTTCAGTTCATTATGATTTTGTTGTAGTTATTATCTTGAATGAAATTAAGTAGTATGAAAACTAATTAATCAGTAGTTTAAGGCGATGACATACAAAATATAATATCATTCAATATCAGTATTGGTTTTTTTTTAACCTCATAACTTACAAAAAAACCAGACCAATTAAACGAGTTGGAAATTCCCAATTTTCTCCTTGTAACCTGTTCAAATTAAATTAATGAATATTTTTTTCTAATAAAAATATCATTTACGTACATACATTTTGTTTCACCTTCAGTGGTATTACTGGTATTCGGTGTTGTCTGCATGAGAACAGTTGACATCATTGTCATTGTTCTTTGGATTTAATTGAATGTCGATAGTCAACTAATGCACCTGTTAAACTGAAATTCACACAAATTACAATGAGAATAATTAGAAATACATCAGCATAAATCATCAACAGTTTGCATCCACAAAATATCGCTCACGGGAATCGAACTCAAGACATTCGGCATTGCGTGCCAATCATTCACTTCTAGACCATCAAGCTAGCATCCAATAGTATTGATGTCTAACTTTACTTAGTCTAAGGATATTGTGAGATCTCACTTATTGACTTCGGTGAGTAACTGCTTCATATCTATCACGGCTGAAAGCTATTATTCATGACTTCTCACTAGAACTTCGAGAATTTCTTCACGACTACTAGTGAGAAGCCATTATAACTCATGAAATTCATCTATCTATATTAGATGTGAGACAGCGTAGGCAATGAATGATGGTTATGTAGTGAAGGAGAACACAGGTGAGGACAACCGAATTGTATTTAACGAAATTACAGAGTTACTCAGTAAAAATAGGAAAACCATATCGTAAATCGTTCATTTGCAAATCTTCAATCCATCATCAATCCATTGTTGTCTGACATTTCACTCACTATTCATGCGTTTCATACAAATTCCATTGTGTTCCCACTCTTCTTGCTTTCTCGATCTTCCCCCATCTTCTGCTGCCAGACATTACGTTGACACTCATGTCATATACTACTTATAAGTAGCGCGCACCACAGTTAGATATGTACACTGTTGCATGCTATCTTGATGGTCTAGAGGATAACCATCCTCGCATATAACAAAAGGTGTTCTAGGTTGGATTCTCCTGTGCAGACATCATTGATATTCAATTCTTATAAGTGACATACTATAGTACTTGACAGTCTTCCACTGGCTTGCACATTTCTAATAACAGCTCAACAATGATTAATGATTCATGATTTCAATGAAATTTAAATAAAACTCTTAAATTATATATTTGAACAGAGAAATGCGAAGATATATTTTGTGAGATAGTGGTACCATTTCATGTTTTCTTGTCAGTCACATACAAGCAACATGTTATTTGTGTGTAAATGCAGTTTTGAAGATAAGGTCAAAATTTCTTATTTGGCATGACATTCACTCACTAGAAGAACCATGGTAAACAAAGGTCAACATACAGTTGTTTTTGAACACACATAAAGTTGGACTTTTCCTACCAATTTAGATAGCTTCAACGAAACTGGTAGCAACTGATGTGTCCAAGAAACCAGTGTACCTACCTACAGTTAACTTTCAAGGGTGATCATTGCATGAAAATTACAACCAAACAGACTGCAGCTGCAATAAAAAAGACCTTCAATGCAGCTAATCTGAGGCTTATCACAACAAACCCATTCAAGTCTCCAAGACCGATTCAGTTCAAATCCCACTGTATTTAACAATTCACATGTAACTGCAGAGAAAGTTACTTAGGGAGGACAGATCGCCGATTGGAAGACAGGATAGGAGAACATATTCCAAAATGGCTAATCAAATCCATGATTCATCAACCTAGCCTGTCATCTAAAAATCGATCAAGAAACCCAGCCTCGTCCATTGCAAAACATCTAATGATGAGTGGTCATCAAATTGACCCAAAATCAGCCTTTAGAGTTTTGACATTTCATCAAAACCCACACACACTGAAACTACTCGAAGCTATCTTGATTGGTCGGAAAAGTCCAACTTTATGTGTTCATAAGCAACTGTATGTTGACCTTTGTTTACCATGGTTCTTCTAGTGAGTGAATGTCATGCTAAATAAGAAATTTTGACCTTATCTTCTAAACTATATTTACACAAATAACATGTTGCTTGTATGTGTGACTGACGAGAAAGCAGGAAATGGTACCACTATCTCACAAAATGTCTTCTCATTTCTCTATTCAAATTTATCAAAGGGAACCACTGTTTTAAATCAGATATTGTCTAAATTTGTAAAACTTACATTGAATTATTCCAGTAATCAATATTTTCTGATTCAATTCAAATCTGTGTTAGTTTATAACAAAAAAAAATCAAATAAAACACCAATTACTATTGAACACAAATTAACCAATAAAATTCATAGATTATTATTGTGCAAATTAAACTTTGAACCAATTCATCCAATGATTGAGCGGAAAAAAAAATATCTCGGTACAAGAAAAAGAAGAGATGAAAATGATGAGTCATCGGATTGTTTTAGTTAGTCAATCTCTTCAAATCTGATTATACCTTACAAGCTAATAAATACACTTTAATGGATTGGTTTTGGGATAATCCTGATTCATTCATATTTGGAGATGTTACTAGTAATCTATTCGACTGACCAGCATTGTCAAATCTACTGTGTCGTCCACCTTCATTTCTAATTTTATCCAATTGATGCTCATTTTTCGCATATCTATCTCCGATTCTCAGCGTCATATGTTCCTTGGTCTTCCTCTTCTCCTTTTGGCATGGAGGATTTCAGATGAGTGCTTGTTTTTATGATACAGTTGGGTGATTTCCAAAATTTGTGTCCTATTCACCTTCAGCATTTCTTACAGATTTCTTCCTCCACTGGAATCTGGTATGTTCTGTATCGCAGTAGGTTGTAGCTGATGGCGTCTTGTCAGAAGATTGATATGCTCATAAACTAATATGCTTGAATGCTATTGTGAGTTCATCTTACTCGGTAAATGGAACGAAAACAATAAATCATTGATACGATAGACTATTCTAATCCGATTGTTCTAAGCCATACTAACTAAAGCAAGAAGTTTTGATAAGACGTAGATAATATATTCCACAAGCGCCCAGAAAATTTGAGGTTGCTAAATACACAAATCAGGCCTTTTTTTACAGTGATAGCAACGCCCTTAGGGGAGCCACAAAAATAGCGTACTAAAATAATCCATCAACCAATGACAGTCAAGGATTTTCGGAGTGGGAAATACAAGCTGAAGGTCATTGTAATCAAAATTTCAGCGATAAATTACAAATTTAAGTCCTTTTCCGAGCGAGTTCAAGGGAACTAAAGTCCGAAGCAAGAATCCGAAATATTTTACCTCCAGTTCATAAGAATTTACTGTCTTTAATGAGATCCAAGTTATTTATGAAAGATGTAACAGAGTAATCGAACGAATCTGAAGAGAAATGTATTTTACATTCTTGAAATTGTTTATAATATTGTTGGGGATGTTAGATCCCCGAAACTCGCTTGATAAATGCCTTATTTTGGATTTCACGTTTACCAGCATGAGCTGATCAGCTGACCTTGAAATTTCATTTCCCACCACGAAAATCCATGACTGTGATTGGCTGCTGTGTATTTTAGTGTGCTACTTTCGTAACTGTCTCAAGGACGTTTCTATGATGTATAAATAAACGAGATTTGTTTGCTTGATTGTATTGTGGTTGCTGGTTGTTTGTAGAATATAATTTCTACGCTTACAGAGCCTTTTATCTTCAGCTTTGGATTCAAGGTAGCCTATCGGGACGCTGGTAATTGTCTCGTTCTAGTTTATCGACTATGGTAAACTCGTAATAGCTTCAAGCTTACCTAGTGACGAACCCTAGAAATATATTCACTTTCAAGCATCAAGAAAGTCAAACAGTTAAGCATAGTTTGTCGTTTATTTTAACAGTTTCGTACTATAATAGCATCGTTAAATACGACCTGGTCTTCAGGATTTTCTTTTAACAATGTTTTTTTGTGGATTGATATTTACTGCCTCAACTGAGCTGCATAAAATCATGGGCATATGATCATTCAGACATTTCCTAAAAATCTATTTATGTTAATTGATTGGTAAACATCTTTATTCTCACGTATTTTGTTATGCACCGAATACGTACTTGGCATGATATGTCTTTGATGCTAGCGAAATAATGATCTTTCGATGAGTTAGGTTGTTAGGATATTCATCCACTATCCTAAGAGAATTATTATTGGTCAATTCCTATTGGTTAATTCCTACTGGTCAATTTTATGGTCGTCCTAGTAGATATCAATGTCACGTGCTCCAATGTTGTTTCTTATTGGTTGTCCTGACCATCAATGTCACTTGAAATGTGGCTTCCTATTGGTCGGCTTATCTGTTAGTGTCACAGAATTCGATGCTGTTTCCTATTCAAACAAAATGTATAAATATGCATTATCTGTAACGCTTTATGACCAGCACCAGGACTCGGTCACGGATCCTTAGTCCGGAATCCTGTTTCTCTTCTGGACTCGAACCTCGTACTTCATGAATGCTTGTAGAATACAGGTTCTACTTCACATTGAAATCCTCTTATTTTTACTAAATATGGGGGTTGTGATAATCGGATTTGAGTAGCATGTCGTATCACCGGATCCTCGATCCTTGCTCTCATTTTCCGAATAGGTGAACTCGTAATAGTTCAAGCATGTCAAGATGACGTGTTTACGTGTAGGCGTAACAACTACCTCAACTAATCTACACAAAATCATGGATATATGATTATTCAAATATTTCCTAAAAATTCATTTACGTTAATCCATTGGAGAACATTTTTATCCTCAAGTATTTCGTCATGCACCGAATCCATACTTAGCATGATATGCCTTTGATTTACTGTTAGCGAAATAATGATCTTTCGATGAGTTAGGTGAATCATTGTTAATTCTATTCTTCGTTTAGTTTTCTCATTTATTTCCGATAATTTTGAGTACATCACAGTGGAATTATTCGTTACATGTTCAATTCACATATGTTCTTACATTTCAAATGTCAAGTTTCAATTCTGTGGATTGTTCTTTGATTATAGTGTGGTGGAAAAACGTCTACGAAGGAAACGCAGCTCATGAAAAGCAAACATTGATTACTGTACTCATTTTGTTTAAGTGTATTAAAAACACTTTCTTACACGTAAACTTCTTATTTTGCGTTGCTGTCATCATTCATAACTTACTGCTCAATGTAATCCCCTTATTTTCTCCTTCAAATATACTCTTTACCCTGGATTTATCTACATTCATTGATGGGCTAGTAATTAGTATTTAGTGGTGACCATAGTCAATCTCAACTCGGTCACCATTAAAACACTACCGGTTGATGGGTA